GAGGTTCTTACCCACGAAAACTTATGCTCCCAATACTTCTGTTAGTCTTAAAGGTGCCACAGGACCCTCTGTTGCTTTTTACAGATTCAGACTAACACGGCTACCCCTCTGATACTTGACACATTTATTGGGAAAATCCATATGGCATTTTTCCTATGTTCCTGATGAGAGGAAGGATGGGTGAAAGGCACTGGATTGGGGCTTGGAAGATCTGATTCATTTACTGTCTGTGCCAAACACTCCCTGTGTGACTTTGGGCAAGATACTTGGGGCCAGATTTTCTGGTGCTTAGCACTGGCAAGTGGGGCCAGATTTTCAAAAGAACTCCTATTCAGACACCTAAATAAGATTAAGTAATTAACCCTTTCACTATCCAGTCCCATTTCAGAGATAGAGAAACAGAAGCAGAGAGTTTAAGGCCGAGTAAACACTTCAAACATAGGTTGACATAGCTGTGGTACTTAGGGGTGTGAAAAATCCACACCCATGCTGTTGCTATGGAGACCTAACCCCCAGTGTAGATGCAGCTAAGTCTACAGAAGAAAGCCTTTGTTGTCAGGGGACGTGGAATTTCTTTGGAAATGGAAATACTTCTTCTGTCACTGTAGACTGTGTCTCCATTACGGGACTATGCTGGCATAGCTACAGCACCATAGCTATGCCTCTAAAGTCCCCCATAATGTAGACATGGCCCCAGTCACTTGTTGGCTAGCCCAAGATCTCATACCAAGTCATTAGCAAAGCTGGGACTAGAACACGAAAATACTGACTTAGGCCTGTGGTGTTACCATCAGACCACATATTATAAATTGATATATCTATATCTTTGCTGATGTTGTTCTCTCCATTTTATATAAAAATATTATTTTGTTAACCATGAAAGAAGAACAGAAGCCATTAACCGTGAGCAAGGAATATAATGATGAAAAATATTGCTGATAAATAGCAACCCACTGAGTGTATATGAAGGGCCCCAAAGGACTAGATATCACGATTATTAATATTTCATCTCGCAAGGGGACAAAAATACAAGATTAATTCCTCTGTTACCTCTCTCCAAGATCAATGGTACATGAGGATCCTATTTTAAAGGACTCAGGATACAAGCAGATGGTATAGCCTGGTGCTGAGAGCCAGGTTGTGGTAGACTGGTTGCTCCTGACCAGGGGAGTGTTGGTGGGTCTGTGGCATTTGACTGCTAGTCTTTAATCAGTGATGAATACAGATCACACTGTTGGGATTTATACTGGCAGATTTGGCAGTCTTTTCCTGCTTTACATGGACAGGGATAGACCTTTCTATCTATAGGTCTTTCTCTAAGGATCTTTTTTTTTAAATAATTACAGTGAGTCCAACCCTGCACACATGACTATTGGATTTGATGGGAGCAGCAGAAGGCCCAATATATGTTATTGGATAAGGCATGTTTTATTTTCACTTTGCACAATGTGTATGATTCACACTGTTCTAAATCATAGGCACTCAAGCTGGGGTCACAGTCAGGTTCAGGGGAGATGTAACAACCCTTCCTTACTTTATAGCTAGGTGGGATGGGGGCCAATTTTTTTGTTGTCACTTGGGATTTTGATGTGGAAAAATCTTGAGAATCACTTTTCTACATTGCCTCCAGAGCATGGAAAATACGGTAAACTATTATTCAAGAATATTGATTTGAATATAAACTGAATTCATGTTGATGGTAACATTGGCCCTTTATTTTCAGGCATGTGTTTTCAAAACTGTTTATGGAAAATGAAAGTTTCACAAATACCTGTGCCACTGTCGTTTTATGAGAGTTCACAATGGAAGAGTTTACATTGCCAGCTCCAAACTGACATAGCAGCTCAAGGAACTTAGTCTAGTCCTCCTATTTATAAATGGTTCAAGTCATCTAACTGGGAAGCAGAAACATTGTGCCATATAACTTAAGTCATTAATTATGCAGTATGAATGGCACATTATGAATAGCTAAATCTGAGATAAATAGTCACAGCAAATAATTTGCAGGTAATTAATAGGAATGAAATATGTCTCCATAAAAAAATCACCAGATAATTTCAAATAACAAACAAATTCATAACAAATCATGTGGAAAGAGGGACTAAATTAGTCTAATATATTATTATGAGTCGTTTAGTCAGATCTAGTTGTTTTATGCTGGCTTTCATTTTTATTATCTTTTATGTGTTTTGTCAAGTTTGGTAGACTTCTGTAGGTCTGTAAAACTTTAATACAAAAGAAATAAAATACAGGACATGTTTTCTTTGGTAAGTTGACTTATAGGAATGGAGAACAATTGGTAATGAGACATAGAATATTTCATATCTAGGCTATTGATTCAAATCCAGCTCAAGTCAGTGCTGACCAGTGTTTCCCGTCTAAAGGCCTGATCCAGAGTCCACTGAAGTCAGCAGCAAGACTCCTATTGAATTTGGATCAAGTTCTAATAGTTGTTTGGTGTGTTATTTGAAACGAGCTTGGTGGTCTCAGTCTAGTTCTCAGGAGGGACGTGTTCACCTTACAAAACCACCCATTGGCAATCTCAGCAAGTGCCCAAGAACTGAGTGAGCATGGTGGCTGAGTTGTCACGCCTACCCCCAGTAGTGCTCAGGACTAAGGCAAGTTGGTAAGGCTTTTTGTTGAAGTATTCACTTCAGTTGGCTATAGTGAATGTTTTCTTCTGGGGTCCTCTATTTATCTACGCCGTTATTATCTTATTTTTATGCTCTCATTGAAATGCTCAGCAGTTTATTACTGCCACCTGTTGAATACGTTAAAGAGCATTCCAGATGTCATTGCTTGCTCAGTTAGATGCACAATCACTTGGTTTAAGTATGCAGCACAGACACAATGGCCCAGAATCATTGGGATGGGGTGATGGTGGGAGAGCAAAAGAGATATAATGGCAGCTCTGTATTCCCTGGCATGCACCTGGCCCGGTTCCTGGACATAAGGTAAAACAATCCTGAGATTACTCTATCTTAGGCTGGGTGCCTATGGCTCTAACGGGTTGTCATGGCACCTGAGGATCAAATGGATGTAGCAGCTCCCAAGGCACCTTGCACCCCCCTTTTGCCCAACCATGCTCCCTATGCTAGAGGTTGGGATGGGGTAGTCAGGGCCGGCCCTAGACCAAATGGTGCCCTAGGTGAGGAACATCTTCGGCGCTCCCCCCTCCATTTGTTAAACTTTTGTATAACTTATTTTTTATTTTCACGATTTTGATGGACGATTTGCCTGCATGATGTATCTCGATCATATAAAATGATACATTTGCATGCTAGGATCTGTAAATCTGAATGTATTCATGCACGGCACCCTGAGCCCGGCACCCCCCAAGATTGGCACCCAGCGGATTAGCCACTGGGCCAAGGGAGCCTGTGTCCAGGGCTCCCGGCCAATTGGGTGGGCCTGGAAAAATGGATGACCCTGAACCCCAACCCACTCTGCCTGCTTGCCTGGCGCTTGCTCTGAGGAGTGGGGTCAGGGCATGGGAAGCAGGGTTGGGGTCCAGGACATAGGGGTGCTTGCTCTGGCCCAGGGCCCCACAAAACAGTAATCTGCCTCTGGTCGTCTGGGTTGCCTGCCCCTAAATCCGGTCCTGGGGGTGGTCTAGGAATTCTATGCCAGTTCTGCACCACTGAGAGATTCTACTATGCCAGGAAAATCCCTAGATAGCTTTGAGTCTGCTTTGTGCTGCTGCAGAGGGACAAAGCAGACTCAGTGGGGTCGTGAATCTGGCCCATAATTTTGAAAAGTTATCCTGAAAAGTGGCAATGTTGGCTTTTCTA